ATCCATCCATCCATCCATCCATCCATCCATCCATCCATCCATCCATCCATCCATCCATCCATCTAGCCTTGAATGGCATGGAACTCAGAGATCCACCTGCTTCTGCTCCTTAAGTGCTGGAGTTAAAGGCATGGGCCACCACACTTTGTTATTACTGTTAATTTATTCTATGTGTATATTTGTATGGATGTTTTGCCTGCATGTAGGTATGTCCTTGCACCTGGTACCTGCAGAGGCCAGAAGTGAGTGTATACCCTAGGACTGCAATTTCAGAAGATTGTGTTGCCCCGTGGGTGCTGAGAATGAAACTCAGGTTCTCTGGAAGAGCAGCCAGTGCTCTTAACAATTGAGTAATCTCTCTTACTCAGTTAATAATTTTTTTTTTTTTTTGATACAGGAGTCTTATGTATTCCAGGCTGCTCTCAATCTTGTTAATCTTCCTATACTTATGAATATGTGCTGTCATGGCTGGTTTATGGAATGCTGGACATGGAGCCAAGGCTTATGTTTGATGGGCAAATTCTCTTCCCTCTGAGCTACATACATCCTACATTCCCCCTCCAAATCTTGATCTTAAATAGATTCCTTCCAATATAATTACATATAAATATTTAATCCCATATTTTCAAAGAAAACTCCTAATTTTGTAATAAGAATGGACAACAAAATAATAATAATTAGAAAGTTTTGTGCTTAAATATCAGTGTTTAATACTGTTCTTGCATCTTTATTAATTCCATTTTATTGGATTTCACAAGCTATGGTAGTGGGTTAGAATGACAAACGTCAGTTACAGCAAAGTTTTGTATAAATAAAGACATGGGGTCTTGTCTGTCATTTTGATTACATGTCAGGAGTAATTCTGCTTTACAGTAGGGCTTGTAGAAATACTTGTTGGATTACACACACACACACACACACACACACACACACACACACACACACACACACACCCTTTCATTCCCCCTATGAACTTTGACTCTGAGATGGGGTAGTAGGATTGCTAACAGTTCAGGGACAGCTACAGAGTGAGCCTTTTTCAAAAACAACAAACAAAATATTTTGTACTAAGAACGTTTATTTAGTCTTACTTGTTTTCTAAATTCCTCAAGAAATAATAGTTTTGTGTGTGTGTGTGAGAAGAAATTTACTGTGAAAGGTTACTTTTATTAATAGGGTGTTATGATGGTCTGAACTTGTTTGTTTGCTTTTGGTTTCTTTTGAGACAGGCTTTCTTTGTGTAACACAGTCCTGGCTGTCCTGGAACTAGTTTTGTAGACCAGATGAGGCTGGACTTGAACTCACTGAGATCAGCCTGCCTCTGCCTCCTAAGTGCTGGGATTAAAGGCGAAAGCCACCCAGCACTTTGTTGTGTCGTGTTGTTTTGTTTTGTTTGACAATATTTACTTTTTTTTCTGTCTCCTCATTGTCTCTGGTTATTCTTTTCTTTTTTATTTATTTACTTTTTAAATTACACTCATGATATTAATCACATTTGTGGTGTTCATAGATTACATTCGCAGCATTCATTCAATTATATATATATTTAATTTTAAATGTCGAATGTCATTTCTTGAAGGGGGTAGGAGGTCTTAATTACAGGCTTACAGCACAATGGGAGGACTCCGGAGGGCAGAAGTTCGCTACTGATGTTTTACAATCCTTTATCTAAGCTGTTAACGCCCATTATTCAGGTTACACAGACAAGGAACTTCCCTTAAGCATTCAGGAGGGTGGAACCTGGCAGGGAATTAGCATTGGGAGGATATCAAGGTCAAGACCCGCAAGCAAAGCAACAGTTACCCAAAACGGGGCCAGGGCCCTGCAGGTCCCCCTTTTATTAAAAAGTGAGCTTCTGACTTGGGTTGTGTGGGATGTCAGCAGGTCACCTTACCTGTCATGGAGATGCCTGCCGAGGCCACACAGACGCTCTGTCTTAGGTTGGTGAGCTCCCCTCAGGCATTACCCATCTCTGAATACTCATTATCATACTGGCTCAATCGTGTGTGAGCTGCATGGTTAATTGCTGCCAAAGCACTGGGCTTGCAATCTGTGTGTTCCATACAGAAAAGACCAACAGAGGTCCTATCTCACCCATAGCCAGTAGGCTAAAGGCAACTGAGCCATTCCCCTCCTTATCGAGCCATACTGTACGTTGGAGTCCTTGTAAGATAGTATCCCAAAAGCAACTGGAACTTGAGTTTATAAATTTTTAATTTTCAAAGCCAATCGAGATGTATATAACTACTAGTGTTGATGTGGCCCCCGGAGTTTGGTTTATGTCTTTCCTCAGGACAATGAGGTTCCTCTTTGGATTCCTGAGCACTGAACGCACCCTGTGGCTGCTCCTGAAGCCCAACATGACAGAGACCTAATGGGTCATCATGAAAAAAATCTACCCTTCTGATGATGCCAATGGAGATTGAGAGCCCAATATGGCCAGCTTTGGCAAGCATTAATGTAAGCCTAGGAACTGTAGCCATGAGATTGGATTCTCCAGAAGAGCTGCCAGCCAAAGTCATGCTGGGGATCAAGAAAAACAGGCCTTGGTGGTTCAATGTTCCTGGAGTTGTATCCATGCCAGTGGATGTCCACACAATCCAGAAGAGAATTTGACATTGCTACTGCCGCTGTTGCTGTTATAACAATGGCACACACTGCTGCTACTGTTTCTGGGATTACCATTTCATAATTGCTTACTACAGCTAGCACAGTGGAGACCCTGGCAACAAAAGTAGCTACCACAGTTAGTTAATCTTTCATTCTATTGGGCATGATAAATTCAATTCAGTAGTTACATACATCTTGATTGACAATATTTACTTTTTAAGATACAGTTGTGTCTTATATAACCCCTATGAAATTCAGAATATTTTTTTTATTTCTACTCCAATTACTCCAATGACTGTTACTATTTTGAACTTGAGTTTAAAATAAATTTATGGAAATTTATGGAAAAAGTGTCATTTATTTGTTTATTTTAAAGCTTTTGTATTATTTTTTAAAATAGTTCTCTAAACATTTATTTTATGTTTATGAATGTTCTGCCTTCATGTATATATGTATACCATGTACCCATGGAAGTCAGGAGTCCAGTATTGGCTCCACTGGAACTGGAGTTGCAGATGGTTATTAGCTAGGAATTGAATTTAGGTCTTCTCCAAGAGCAACCAGTGTTCTTAATCACTGAGCCATCTCTCCAGCCCATATTTTATTATTTTTAGTGTATGGATGTTTTGCCTACATGTATGTCTATGTACCATATGCATTCCTGGTGCCCACAGAGGCCAGATGAGGGTGTCAGATTCCCCTGGGACTGTAATTAGAGATAGTTGTGAATGGCCATGTGGGCCCTGGGAATCAAACCTGGGGCCCCTGGAAGAGTAACAAGTGCTTTTTGTTTTATTTTGTTTTTCCAGACAGGGTTTCTCTATCTGTCCTGGAACTCACTCTGTAGACAAGGCTGGCCTCCAACTCACAGGGATCCTTTGCCTCCTGAATGCTGGAATTAAAACAGTGCTCTCAACCACTGAAACATCTCTCCAGTCAGTAGCCCCATTTAAAATATTCGCTTATTGAACCTTTAAGACCATCTTACTAGAGTTTGGGAGGAAAAAACAGGACAGGACAGCTGTAAATGCTGGGAATAGAAAGATGGAGAAGTGAAAAAAAATCATGTCTTTTGAGTTAGGGACAGGGACAACAGTGGAGGTCTGAATCAGCTGTAATTTTAAAGAATGTAAAATATAGTTAAGTATAGCTTATATTCCTGTTTGGGTTTTGAGATGGCTCCTGTGCATTTGGTAAAATCTGTAGCATTCTCAAAAAGTTAGATTACATGTAAGTAATGTTTTATATATGCTATATGATAAGTATCACATTTGTAATAGATTGTATATAACCAAATTTAAACAATTCTTATTCTGTAATTTTACAGTTGATAAAAATGGTGATGTTTGCATTTCTATTCTTCATGAGCCTGGGGAGGATAAATATGGTTATGAGAAGCCAGAGGAACGTTGGTTGCCTATCCATACTGTGGAAACCATCATGATTAGTGTCATTTCTATGCTGGCAGACCCTAATGGAGATTCACCTGCGAATGTAGACGCTGCGGTAAGGTATTTGTTTGCCTGACAACTGCTGCTTCCATCCTTTACCTTTTCATTCTCTCTCTTAATGAAGCTCAACATAAAATTTAGTACTTACACACACATATGTAATCTTTTTGTGTCTTTATTTTCATACAAATAAAAATTTATCATGTATTATTATTTTGAAGTATGTAGATACTGTGGGATAGTTAATTTGAACTAGTTGACATGCATTAATTACCCCACTAATTTTTGTAGTGAGAACAACTAAAATTTATTTTTTTTGTTAGTGTACAAAGTAATGGATTTCATTATGACATCATATGTACATGTGATTGTATCTCACTGTAGTTTTGTCTTGGTTTGAGGACTTTTTTCTTCTAAAGAACAAGGTATAGAAATTGTTATTGTCTCTTTCTTTAAATGGATATTATTTATAAGAAAGAAAAAATACAGATTAGCTATTTTTTTGAGCATTTCCTATTATCTACTTGTTTTGTTGTAATTGAAATATGTTGATTTTCATGCTGGTACTGGTGCCAGTCAAGGTGATGTGACAACCATTGCTCCTACTTTCTCCCTGTTGTACTCAGCATCTCCATATGATGCACCTCAGTTGTCAAGTTAAACAGGAGACAATCTCAATGTTGACTGTTTTCTAATTGTTTCCAGAAGTGGGAATAGGTAATTTTCCAGTTAATTTTAATGTTTTATTTGTAAATTGAAAATTGTGACTTTTTAGGGTTTTTCACTTAAAAGTGTGTGTGTGAATGAGTGAGTGAGTGTGTGTGTGATCTGGTTTTGTTTTTTTTGTTTTTGTTTTGTTTTGTTTCTGGGTAGGCACATACTTTATCCTGCTCTTTGGAGAGCAAAGGACAACTTTTCGAGTAGATTCTCTGATCCCTAACTAAGATCTTCCATTTTTCTGCAACCCCCCTCCCCAAGAGAATTTTTCCAGTAGCTGTAATTAGCATAAGCACTTTCTATTTTTAGTTCTCAGCCTAGTCCTTTGCAAAAGCTTGCTCTTCTACCTCATCAACCAGGGCTCTGGTATTGGGGATTGAACCTATGTCCTTCTCCATGCCAGGCAAATGCTTAATGCCTGAGCTATATTTCTAGGTGAAAATACTATGCTTTGAAAAAAAATTTGGAGTGTTGGAATTGATTTTAAACCCAGATCCTTGCACAAACTAGGCAAGCATGTTAAGCTACAACCCTACCATAACATTTTAAGATGTACAGTTACAAAAAGATAACATTTAAAACTAAAATAGGAAACCTGTTGTGGTGGCACAGGCCCTTGGGAGGCAAAGGCAGATGGATCTCTGTGAGTTCAAGGCCAGCCTGGTTTATAGAGCAAGTTCTGGGATAGCCAGGATTATACGAGAGATCCTTTTTCAGAAAATAAAAATAAATAAAACAAAAATCTTTGATTATAATGGGTTTATATAAAATAATTTGGTTTTATTTGTTATATCTACAGAAAGAATGGAGGGAAGACAGAAATGGAGAATTTAAAAGAAAAGTTGCCCGCTGTGTAAGAAAAAGCCAAGAAACTGCTTTTGAGTGATGTTTATTCAATAGCTAGTAACTTCAATTATTTCAGGGTAAGTTCATTTAAAAACCATACAACTCTTTGTCTTTTTTTGGTCAAATGCTATGCTAATTTTTGCAGATTGTTTGATTTAGCTATTTGACTTGGATTTATTGGCTTCATTTTATTACTTCACTTCTATTTTACTGTAGTTTGGTGCTTCTCAGAGCTATAGCATTACCACTTGTTTTTTGGGGAGGTGGGCCTCAAGTGTTTTTAACTAGCTGTTCTGTCTTAAAATAGTTTTATGGTATTAGTCTCCTTATTTTCACTAGTAGTAATTTAAGATAAAAAATTTTTTTTTTTGTTAAATTGTGCTGGCAATGAAATCCAGTACCTTGCACTTCCCTTTGGGGAGGGTACCCCATTACTGAGCTAAAACTCTAGCCCCTATTGGTAGTAGAATTTCTAGTAATGAAGATGTCAGTTTGATTTCTTCCATTTCAACCTGCCCTTATCTTCTTATCTACTGCTGGGCACTGAAGTGTCTTGTATCCTCTTATACTCAATATTATATATGGTAAAGGCTAACTTTTTTTTTTGTATTAAAAGAAAGAAAGCAAGATCCTAGAGCTAGGAATGAGCCCAGTTGTTAGAGTTCTTGCCTAGTTTTCAGGAAATACTGGGTTCACTCCTGTTCTAGTTAGTTTTTTGTTGCTGTGATAAAATATCAACTTGGTGAGTGGCTTAATTAGGGTTTCTATTGCTTTGATAAAGCACCATGACCAAAAACAACTTTGGATGGAAAGGGCTTCATTCATTCTCACAACTCAAGGTCACAATCCATCACTGAGGAAAGTCAGAGCAGGAATTCAGTGGTAGGGACTTGGAAGCAGAAATTGAAACACAGGTCATGGAGAAATGTCTCACTGACTAGCCCTTAATGGCTTGCTCAGCCTGCTTTCTTATTTATACAACTTGAGGCCATATGTCCAGGACTGGTATCAACTCCCTGCCCAACTCATTAATCAAATGCCCTATAAACTTGCCTACATGCAATCTAATGGAGGAGTTTTCCCAATTGAGGTTTCACTTACCAAATAACTCTAGCTTCTGTTGACAATAAAGAACAACAAAAACACCAGGACAACTTGAAAGAGTTTATTTCAGATTATGGGTTATAATCCATCGTAGAAGGAAGCCAGGGCAGGAATCTGGAGGCAAGAACTGAAAGCAGAAACAATTAGGAATGCCATTTCTCACTTACTTATACCATAGTTGGCTCAGCCTGCTTTCTGAAACTGCCCAGGACCACATGCCATCCACATTGGGCTGGGCCATCCCTCATCAGTTATTAATCAAGAAATGCCCCACAGACAGGCTCACAGGTCAATCTGGTGAAGACAATTCCTTAATTGATGTTCCATCTTCCTACATGACTCTAATTCAGTGGTTCTCAACCTTCCTAACACTGTGATCCTTTAATACAATTCCTCATATTGTGTTGACCTCTAACTATAAAACTATTTCATTGCTAATTATACTTCTTAAGTATAATTTTGCTACTGTTATGAATCATAATGTAAATATCTCTGGTTTCTGATGGTAGGCGATCCCTGTAAAAGGGTCACGATCCACAGGTTGAGAACTATTCTAGTTTATGACAAGTTAACAAAAACTATCACAGATCCCCAGCCCTACATAAAACCAGGTGTTACACACTGGAGAAATGGAAAGCAAGAGGACCAGAAGTTGAAGGTCACCTTGGCTGTATAGCAGATTCAAGACCAGCAGGGAATACATGAAACACTATTTCAAAAACATCAGAAGAAAAACCTTATTTCATATTATTGCTAATACCATTGAGCAGCTTTATTTTTTTCTTTAGTTGGTCCTTTATATCTTAATAGGGCCAGTGGAGTACAGTTTCTCTAAACATCTCACAAGTATCTTATATCTAGTAAGGAGTCAAAGATGAAGGATTGATTCCCTCTGGCATAGAAAAGGACATTAGTAGATGAGTTGATCACATTTTTTGTTTGAATTAAATGTCAAGGTTTTTAAAACTATGAAATGTGTGCTGGATGTGGTGATATATGTCTGTAACCCCAGTCCTTGATATACTAAGGCTGGAGTATTTTCGGCTCCTGGCCACCATGGGCTACATAGTTAAAGGTCCTGTGTGAAAAACACAAAAAAGGTAATGAACGAAACATTAAAACAGTTTTCATATATTTATTTGTGTGTTTGTGTGCCTGTATATGCAAATTCTAATGCATGGACAGGTGTATATGCCATGGCACAAAGGTGGAGGTCAGAGGACAACTTAATGGGAACTCGTTCTTTACACTACAGATCCCAGGGATTGAAGTGTGGTTGTTGGGCTTGCTGGCAAGCCCCTTTAATCATTGAACAATCAACATTCAACAAATCATAATTTATGTATATTCCTGTACATACCAGCAGTTTTAAGATAGTATACTATATTCATTCATATATATATATATGTATATGTGTATTTATTTGTTTTGTTTGTTTTTTGAGACAGGATCTTGCTTTGTAGTCCTGGCTGGTGTGGAGCTCACTCTTGATCAGGCTAGCATTGGACTCAGAGATCCTCCTTCTTCTGCCACTTGAGTGCTGGGATTAAAGCCATGTGCTAACACAGCTGGCTCATGTATAATTTTGTGGTTCTGTGAATGAAACCCCAGGTCTTGTGCATTCTAACACTTGAGTCACATACCCCCAAACCAAATTTTATAAGAATTTTTGGAGTTAGAAGTTAGCACACTTCTAAGGTGCCCCCTCCCTTTTTTCTGAACATAAAGCTTAAAAAATATTTAGTATTTTTAAAATTTTTTTATGCTGCAATTTTTAAAATACAAAAAAATATTTACTTAAAAGTCCTTGGAATTTGTGATGTTTTCTGAAACATTTCATTTACTTGACCTAGACTTTATTTACTTTTTGTTTGGTCTCTGCCCTGTCTTTTGTAAGTCTTATCTTTTGATTGAGATTGAGATCCTATGAAGGTAGAGGAAAGAAAAGTAAATCTTCTGTTTTTTACAGATCAACAACTTTGTATGCCTCTAGAAATAATAGTTTCTTTTGTTTTGCTTCAAGGCTAATTCTTTATTGCTTTGTAATTGTTCCAAATTTAGTAATCTTAAACAACATTTGTTATCTCATACTTCTGAGGGCCACTCAATCTCCTACATGTAGGCTTAGTTAACTCCTGACTTTAGGTCCCTCACATAGCTGAAGAATAGGTTTTGGTTGAACTGTTCAGTCAAGGACCTTAAGGCCCAACTGGGGTCATCTGTTTATCAATGCTCACTTAAGTAGTTGTCTGCAGGATATATTTAGGTGTTGACTAGAGTTCTTCTTTGACTGTTTTTGAAATATATTTTTTAAATTTAATTTTTAATCAAAAATTATATTTACGTGTATTTTGCCTGTAGTGCCCAAGGAGGCAAGAACAGGGTTTCTAGTTCTCCTGGGATCTGAGTTTACAGACAATTGTGAATTATTGTGTGGGCAATTGAACAGGGATTCTCTGGAAAATCCACTAAGGGATGTTTTTTTTTGGGGCGGGGGGGGAAACGATGATGACACATAAAAGCTTTTATTTAGTTTATTTGTTCTCTCTGAAATTGTCTGCACATCACAGCAGATCAAGCTACTGCTTTGGCTTTTTGCCCACACCAGCTTTGGCCTTTGCAGTCCCCCTGACCTTCTTCATTCTGTTCTTAGGTTCCTTTCACTGCTCCTGGGAGGTCTTCTCATAAAGGCCATGTCTTGCAAGTCTATGTTTGGGCTCATTCTTCTTTGCATAATCTAGAGACTCATAGATCATGCCAAAGTTAGTTGTTTTGCCATCACCAAAGTGGTTGTGGTTTTGTACATTTTGGCCAGCTTCTCCCAAATTTCAGTCTTTGGTACTGTTGCCTTTCCAGGGTGAAGGGCGTCAGTGACCATCTGTTTCCTCTGAAGCAGATGGATGGTTAGTCATGAACTTCCTGGTCCGGATCATTACTGTATCATTCATGATGGCTACAGTGCGCGAGCTGCAAAGAAGGAAAAACTGCTAAGGGATCTTAACTGCTATGTTGTCTCTCTAATCTCCTTCTTTGATTCTTATCACATGATGGCCACCAGAAATTGGCTCATAATATGGCAGGTGGTTCATCAGCGAGAACAGGAAAAAGATACAAGTGGATTCAGAACTAAGTGTGGTAGATATGCCCATAGGAAACAGTACACCCAAGCTGGTGGAAATGTTGCCTACAGATAAAACATAGCTGAATTCCTCTCTAGGGATTGCCTTCATGACACCCAGGTTATCCTTCACTTTTTTTTTTCTTCACATGATGGATTGCAGTTTTGGAGTTTTCTGAAGGGCCATCAAAATGTGAAGTGTGCCTTTGATTCAACAAGCCCCTCCAACATCTCAATATTTTTTTCTTCCTAAACTGGCTCACCTCACTTAGTTTTTTTGTTGTTGGTCCCCCCCCCCCCCCGTTTTTTTTTTTTTTTTTTTTTTTTTTTTTCCCCTTTTTGGGGTTTTTTGAGACAGGGTTTTTACGTGTAGCTTTGGAGACCAGGCAGGCCTCAAACCAGAGATCCGCCTCCCTCTGCCTCCTGAGTGCTGGGATTAAAGGCGTGCGCAACCACCGCCCGGCTTTTTTTCCCCTCTTATTTAAAGACAGAGACTACATAGCATAGGCTGGCCTGGAACTCAGAGATCTATCTGCCTGCATATAACTCTCAAGATCTGGGATCAAACTCCCGCACCTGATTCACTTTGATCTTTGAAAACACTTCCTTGTAAACACCACATAAGCAAATGATCTGCAGCTAGGAAGCTTTGTGAGACTCAAGCATAGCAAGAGCACATACTGCCCAACCAGAGAATATGAGTTCTAACTCAATATCCACATCAGGCAGCACATAATTGCCTGTGGTTCTAACTTCGTGGTATCTGACACCTTCTGGTCTCCAGTGTCACCTGTGTACACACAGACATGTAAGTAAAAAGAAATCATTAAGAAAAAAAAGTTAGGGGCCAGGCGA